TAAGTGAGAAAGGGCAACTGACAGTTATTTGCAATTGTAGTTTATTTTTTAAGTGAAGGGAGTTCAAAACATTATCTCATATTTTCAGGTAGGCTAATGATGAGAAATTGTTGTCTTATTAACTCTTTTCCCTTTTAATTTTTTTTTTGTTGTTTGTTTTGGCAGCACAAACCAATGCAAATTGGTTGTATTTCTCTAAAATGTATGAGTATCCATTTTCACACATATATGTTTGTGGTGTGTTTGCAAGTTCACATGTGTGTAAGTGCGTATATGTGTGCACACTTGTGGAGGCTGGAAATTGATATGGGGTGTCTTCTTCCACCACCCTCCACTTTATACTGAGGCAGGGTCTTTCAGTTGAACCTAAAGTTTGCCAGTCGGCTGGTCTATGGAGACAGCTTGCCTTGGTGATCTCAGCTCTGTCCCTCAAGTCCTGGGATTACAGGGGGCCACTATGTCTACCTGACTTTATGTATGTTCCAAGGATCTAAATTGAATGCTACCCTTCAATGTTTTGGTAACAAACTCCTTATCTACGGAGCCATCTCCCCAGCCTTTATTTCTTGTTTGCTTGAGACCAGGCTAGCCTACCTGCTCCTCCTACCTTTATCTCCCTGGTGCTGAGATTCCAGGCCTGGTCACTTCCTCGACAGGCTTTGGTTTTGTTTCTAAGGGGAAAGTGGAGCACAGACATACTTGAAGTTCAAGGATTATTTACCAATGACAATGAGTAGGTCCTTCCGTTCATTAGGTAAATAGTTATTTAGCACCCGTTTTAACATTAACATCTCAGTCATTAGCATAAAGAATGGAATGAAAAGCATTTGAATCCATGTGTGGCTGAAGGCAAAACTCCTTCACAAACCCCAAACTAGAAAGCAACCAACCAAAAAGAAAAAAAAAAGCGTTTGAAATCAGAAGGAGGTGACACAAGCCTTTCCAAAAACCTCATTATTTGTTGAACTCTGAAATTGCTAAGAATTCTAAACCAAAAGAGGTTTAAATCTTCAAGTTTCTGTCTATCCGCAAACTCACGGTCACGCTCAGATGGAGGTATAGCCAATATGTTATTAGTGATTTTCTTTATTTTATAAATTGTTCTACTTTACGTTTTCATTTGTGTATAATAAACAAAGGTGGTTTTGGGAGGAGAGAAGTGTCAGGGCAGGTAGTTTAATGAGGAACTATTTTTTAAAAATAGGATCCTCCTTGCCTGTGGCCTTGGCATTCTAGAGCCTTCCTTTATTACATTCTGGAGTAAGATAAGATAAAGGTTCCTTCCCAGTCACTCTGCTCAATAGGGCTTGGGCGAAGGGCACATGGCAAAGAAACTCACCTTGGAGAACATTCTGGAAGAATGGAAAGTTTCCAGGAAAGCTAATGCTGGAGAGGGTACAAGGAAGGTGGCCCTGATGGCCAGGCCTCAGAGGGACAGAGGCTTAAGACAGCCATTCCCAACCAGTGGGGCGTGTCCCCACAGGGGTTGCATATTAGATATTTACACTACGATTCATAACTAACAGAATTATAGTTATGAAGTAGCAACAAAGTAATATTATATTTTGGGGGCGGGTCACCACAACATTAGGCGCAGGCTAGTCTTGAACTCACAGAGATCTGTCAGCCTCTGCCTCCTGGGTGCTAGGATTAAAGGCATGTGCTACCACAGCCTGGCTTTATAACTTTTTTCTGAAAGGGAAAAAAATGTGTGTGTGTGTGTGTGTGTGTGTGTGACAGCCTTAGGAAGGTTGAGGTCTACAGCATGGTTTAGGGGGTGACTTTGTGTATCGTGGAACCCAGCCCCTCAGGATCTGCCCTCAGCATCCTGTAAACCTTCAAGGAAGTGAATAGATTGGATTTCCTGCTGAAACCAGGGAGCACACAGGATTGATGTCAATCCTTCATAAATCTATGTGCATAAAAAAGACAGTAGATACCCCAGTGACACCCTTCCTGCCCCATGGGAAAGAAAAAAGGGGGAGATGGACAGTTGCCAAACGCTTAGTGTTCAGGCTTAAGGATGGAATTGTCACATAGTTTTAAATCAATCACTTTGTTTTCTAGTTGTGAAGTTCAGAGGTAGAGTGCTCAGCTGGCAAGTGCGATTGATCCTCTGGGTCTGATCCCCACGCCACTCCTCTCACTCAACACCCATGCTCTGTGTATGCACGCATGCTCACACCCCACCACACGCAGATGTACATGGATGTCCGTGCACATGCACAGACACACACAGGCTCACACAGACACACACACATACACAGGCTCACACAGGCACAGACACACACACAGGCTCACACAAGCACAGACACACACACATAAGCTTACTCACACAGACACACACAGGCTCACACAGACACAGACAGACAGACAGACAGACAGACACACACACACACACACAAACATGGTCACTCACAGACACACATATACACATGCTCACTCACACAGACACACACAGACTCACACAGGCACAGACACACATACATATGCTCACTCACACAGACACACACAGGCTCACACAGACACACAGACAGACAGACAGACAGACAGGCAGACAGACAGACACACATTTTTTTCCTTTCAAAAAAGTTATAAAGCTGGATTGTGCACATGCCTTTAATCCCAGCACTCGGGAGGCAGAGGCAGAAGCAGAGGCAGGCAGATCTCTGTGAGTTCAGGACCAACCTGGTCTACAGAGTGAGTTCTACAGAGAAACCCTATCTTGAAAAAAGGTGCCCCTATTTTTGTTTTATTTAATTAAGAAATTTTAACCTCTCTTTCTCTTTCTCTCTCTCTTCCTTTCTCTCTCTCTCTCTCTCTCTCTCTCTCTCTCTCTCTCTCTCTC